GAGGCGGAGGGGGCGGGCGCCGGGCGGAGCCGGAGCCGGAGCCGCGGCGCCTGGAGGAGATCGGGCCGCGCGCTGCGAGCCCCGAGCGGCGGAGAGGCCGCGCGACGCGGGGCAGGGCCCGAGCGCGGTGCCCGGGCGCAGGAGGCCGGAGCGCAGTCGCGGCCTGAGCGGCGGGAGCGCATCCGAGGCCCGCCGCAGGCACACCCGGGCCGGCCGCTCCCGGGCCATGCGCCCCGCTCGCTGAGACCCGGAGAGGCCGCGATGGAGGCGTCAGCGGGAGAGTCGCCGGCTCGGGGCTGCGTGCCCCCGCCTGCGCCCGCGCCCGCCGCGGAGAGGAAGAAGAGCCACCGCGCGCCGTCGCCAGCCCGGCCCAAGGACGTGGCCGGCTGGTCTCTGGCCAAGGGCCGCCGCGGCACAGGCCCCGGCGCCGCTGCAGCCTGTGGCGCCGCGTCCTCGGCGAGGCCCGACAAGAAGGGGCGCGCGGTGGCGCCCGGCGCCCGGGGAGCGGGGCCAAGGGTGGCCGGGGTGCGCACGGGGGTCCGCGCCAAGGGCCGCCCTCGCCCGGGTACCGGGCCGCGCCCGCCGCCGCCGCCGCCCAGCCTCACGGACAGCAGCTCCGAGGTGTCGGACTGCGCGTCGGAGGAGGCGCGCCTACTGGGCCTGGAGATGGCTCTGAGCAGCGACGCCGAGTCTGCGGCGGGCGGCCCCGCGGGGACCCGCACCGGGCAGCCTCCCCAGCCCGCGCCGTCGGGGCAGCAGCCTCCGCGGCCGCCTGCCTCTCCGGATGAGCCGTCGGTGGCCGCATCGTCGGTGGGCAGCAGCCGCCTGCCGCTCAGCGCTTCGCTCGCCTTCTCCGACCTCACCGAGGAGATGCTGGACTGTGGGCCCGGCAGCTTGGTGCGGGAGCTGGAAGAGCTGCGCTCCGAGAACGACTATCTCAAGGTGGGGATCTGGGGTGAGGGGGTAAGGAGGGTCTCGGGGGAGCGGGGGAGGACCTGCCCCAGGGCCTGAGGCCACAACGGGCCGCTTTAACGCTGAACAAGCAGGGACAGAGTGCCCCACCTTCTCGTCCCACTGTTTTCGTGAAGGGGGTCCAACTAAGGGGCCCTGATGTGCAGAACGCCCCCCTCCCGGTAAAACTGTTTCTACAGGATGGTCGGGTGGGTGGGTGGGGATAGATAGCCAGGGCTGACCTCTGCTTTAAACTGCCCAGGACCCCGCCCCCAGGCCAGCAGGCCTTCCTTGGCGCTCTGTTCCGGGGCCAAGCATTGATGTGTCGGGCTGCCAGGGAAACCTTGGCTATTCCCTGGCAAGCAGAGTCAGAACACCATCCTAAGTCCTTACCCAGGGCTTCCCCGGCGGCAGGCCTGTCCTCGCCTGCCTTTTGGGGCGGGTCCAGTTTGAAAGCATGACATCTGGGAACATCCCCTTGGCTTGAATCCACTTCCGCCCAGTCTAACGGTCCCACAGCCTGGGAGGATGATGTCGTGGGAGAACTGGTTCAGAGGCCACTTCCTCAATCCCAGGATATTGTCTTCTGAGAGTGGCCTGGGCAGACATGGCGTGCTCCCAGTGGGAAGAGGGAAACGGCCCTGCTGGATGGGGTAGTCCCTGTGGTGGGGGGTGGGGGTGGGGCCCTGGGGGTGGAGAGCTGCCTGGGAGAAACAACCGGCCGTGCCTGGGCACGTAGGTGCAGCCCATGCCCTGGCTGCCTGTTCAGTGGCACGGTGGCAGCTCTAGGGAAGCCCTGCCCTGGCTTCTCGACCTTGGCACATGAAGCTGGTGTCTTCATGGGCTGAACTGCCACAGCTGGAAGAGGCCGCAGTGTTGTCTGTCCTTGTCAGTTGATGGCCCGGACAAGGAGCAGAGCGGCCTGGCCAGGAGCCACGGAGTTCACAGCACTGTAATGACATGTCTGCCCTGCAGCGCTTAACTCCCTCCCGGCTCTACTGTCTAGGGGGGTTTCCTCTTCCTTAGTATGTTGGGGTGTTCCTCTTGCTTCCCTTGGAGCCTCTATCCAGCATGTTCTCACTAAACTGTTCGCTAGAGGAACCAGGTCCGTCTGACAGGATCATCTGCCGCCGATTCCTAGCCTGAAGGCCAGGCTTCCATTCTTTTCCTGTTAAATGGGAGTGTTAAGTCTTCACAGAGCCTTCACTCAGTGTGGGTGTCCCGGGATTCTGTCAGTGTATGGAGTCTTCTGAAGTCAGCGGGGAGAACGGTGGAGGGTGAGAGGATGGACATAGCCTCCTGGATGCTCCTAGCCACTTCCTGGAGCGTCTCCAGACCTGGACCTGAGCACTTCCCTCCAGCACATGAGGACAACTCATGGTTCTTGGTTTGGTTTCTTCCTGCCCGAATCCTGGGCCCCTTCCTGTGCTCCCAGAAAGTGGTCAATCAGAGCCCTGAACTCCATCCAAAATCACCTATGAGAATGTAGCTGGGAAAGTAGTCCCAGGAGGCTGAGGGTTGAGCCCAGGTTCTCCTAAAGAGCAGGACACAGCTGAAGACATTCCAGTTCCCGGGCCAGGCTGAGCCTGTTTCTGCCATTCATTCAGCAGTTGAGTTTTTGTCATAAGCTTCAGGCCTCTGTCTAATCTGTAGCTTCCTGACTGTGTGATCTTGGGCACATTACTTATCATGCTTGAACCTACGATTTCTCATCTTAAGAACTAAGTAGTGTGAACACAGACCATCCTTAAAGATCAGATGTGCGCATAGCCGGAGCGTTCAGGGTGCTGTGGGAAACCTCAGGTGGGGGTAGCAGAGATCACTCACCGCTCTTGGAGTAGAGAACATGTTTCCTTCTGCCTCTGTCACGTTCTTTGGTGGATTCTGTGGGAGCAGGCTGGGCTCTTCCTCCTGACCTTGAATCTATCGTTCTAATTATTCATTCATTCATCCATCCATCTATCCATCCATCCACTCACTGTTTGCCTAGAGCAGATTTTGAGGTATAGCTGAACTAGGGAGAGCCTTGGAGAGACCAGAGTTAAACAGGACACAATGTGGCTGGTGATAAGAGTAAGATGTTTAATTGTGCCAAGAGCACATGGAGGTGGGGCTGAGAACTCCGGAGGCCAGGAGCTGAGAGATGATGGACGGCAGGATAAGGAGCTGCAGATGGAACATTCAAGGCTGAAGAAAGTGGGGAAGGTGCTGGGTGAGGAAGGGAGCCGTGGCTGCTTGCATTCAGGCAGTACCTACACCGCTCTGTAGGTTCTCGTTCCCGAGGTGTCTGTCCTCTCAGAGAGTCAGTGAAATCCCTGAGAGTGTGGACTGTATACCTACTGTATGTCTTCCTGCTGGAGGTGTTATTTTTTTCACAGTGTCAAGGTTGGACTGTGGCCAGGGCAGGAAGGGGACCTGCTCCAGGCAGCCAGGGAGTAGGGAGAATCAGTCTCCTGCGTGTTTCCTGCCTCTCTAGACTACTTTACATCTGAGGTTCAGAAACTGGGTAAGAAGGAAACTACTTCAAACCCTGAGCGTGCCCACTGCAGACTGACCGTATGAGTTGAAGGGAATGCCTTGGACTCCAGGTCCACCTCCTGGGTTGTGTATTGGGGGTGGTGAGGTGGGGAAACTATCAGCCTTTGGGTAATTGCATTATCTCCTGCCTCAAAAAGCCCTGCCCTGGGGCCCAAGTTAGGGAAGTACCAGAGGGCCAAACCTCTGCCAATGATAAGACAGAAAGCGCTTCTCCAGGGAAGGTGTGAGCTTGGTGTCACTTGAACTAGTCAGAGAGAGGCCTGGATAAAGGCCTAGGGTTTGTGGGGAGCATCGTGTAAATGTTCGTGATCACTGGAGAGCAACTGGGGAGACATGAGTGGTGTCTGACCTGGGGTCCCTTCTAGACAAGGGGTCTGGGGATTATCCACTGGGCTTTTCAGGACCCAGAAACCTGGCTTTAGCTGTAGAGCAACCAGGCTAACTGTGTTTGACTTTGACCCAGTGGTCTAAGGTCCCTGTGACCACTAACCATCATCCATGTGGTATCCCAGAGTACTGGAGCTCAAAGCTCTGGCTTTGAGCCTGATTCTGCCATTTGCTGTGTGGTCACGGGCAAGTGGCTGGCCTCTCTGAGCTGCTTTTTGTTTGTTTGTTTGTTTGTTTATCTGTATAATGGAGATAAGGCGATGGACAGTCTCCAGGGATTGTTTTCAGCAGTCAGGGAGGTGTGAATAGTCAAGAAAACATCTTGTAAGTGAAATCCTTGTGTCTCATGAGGAATTGTTATGATTCTGAGCCAACGAGCAGACAGGATGTCTGAGTGTTCACTCTTGGAAGAGCTGGGAGGAGCCGGGAGGGTGGGTGTCCTCAGCCCTTGCGGGTTGTTACATCAGATGCTGCTGCAGGGTGGGACAGAAAGGCGTGACCAATTTCCCACTGCACAGATAGGCCGTGGGGAGCCGAGGCACCCTGCCCAGGACTTGCGGCTATGAGTCGAAGGTGCCACTCACAAGGACCCAGAGGAAACCCCTCACTGACTGGTGATTGCCATTATATAGTTGGGCAAGTGGCCGCTCCGGGATTCCATCATCCAGCCTGCATCCCAGCCCTGCTGCTGTCTTGGTGCCGTTCCTTCTGCTATGTGGCCAGTGAGATGAGCTTTTGGTTGCTGCTGACATGTCTGGTCTTGGATAGAGGTGGTTGAGAGGAATCCTGTGGGCCAGGTGCCAGGCTAAGATTTGTAGGTGGCAAATAGTGAGTAAGCTCATTTGGGGGAAGGGGAGTGTTTACCCAGCATTCACAAAGCCCTGGTTCCATCCCTAGACTGGCATAAGCCAGGCACGTTGGTATCTGCCTGTAATCCTGGCATTCAGGAGGCAGAGGCAGAAGGACCAATATTGAGGGCTATCATTGGCAACGTAGTGAGTTCAAGGCCAGCTTAGGCTAAGACTGTGTCTCAAAAACAAAAACCTAAAATGATGATATCCAAGCCTGTAGGTAGGTGGGGGTTTGCCTCTCAGGGAAACACTCCTGTAAGAAGGGGGTTGGGTGTGTCACGGGCCTCTTCATTGTGAGGGTGCATGTCCATTGCTCAATAAATGTGCCAGCCCAGTCAGCCTAACTTTCCTCTCTTCCTCCCTCTGATGGTATCCCAGAGTCTTCTGTGTGGTAGGCCTCAGGCTGTTCTTCAAAGCTCCTGGGAGGCACAGGAGGAGGGACCCAGCCTGTCAGCAAGGCCCCCTGGTCCCTGCCCTGGGCTGTAGCTTCTGGCTGGGGCCAGGGCTTGGGGGTTGTGGGAGCAGCTCCAGGGGGAGAGAAAATGAGATGGAAAATGTGAGTGGCAGCTGCCGTGGCCTGCCCGGGGAGACCACAAAGAGCAGCGTTCTTCTCGAGGGGCTGGGCCTGTGTCCCTGGACACAGCCTTGTACACATAAACACGTGTGCACTTATTCCGAGCTTAGGCCCAGAGGCCCGCAGCTACTCATGCCTGGCCGATGTGTACGGCCGGTGACTCACTGAAGCTGGATGCTTCCGGAAGCCAGCCTCCAGGCACAGTCACCATGGACCCGAATGGAAAACGGTACCCAGTCCTCTAGACAGACCCTTCGTGCTACACGCTACCACACACAACACAGAGCAGCAGGAGATTCCAGGCTGGGAAGCACACCCTCTTACACACAGCCCGGAGACACGCTCAGACACGGGAAGTCTGCCTCCATGTGACGGTGTGCGGCTTACAAACACACACAGATGCTAGCTACACTCACCAGCATCGTGGGAACCCATCCTTGCCAGGTGACACAGACATTTGCTCACCTAGGTACCCAGAGAGCAGCCAGCCTTTGCAATTGCACCCGAGGTTCGACAGATTTCAGATGGATACCCAAGAAGCGGTTCACGCAGATAGGATGGACCCAGCCTTCCTGCAGATGAACAGTGACACAAGGGTAGACCAGGCAAATGTCAGAGGTGGCGTCTGCCTAACTGGGGCA